TGAGGTTTTATTCTTTGGGATGCTTTTGATTGCTGTTTCAATCTCTTTCCTTGTGATTGGTCTGTTCAAATTGTCTGCTTCTTTTTGACTTAGCTTTGGGAGATTGTAGGAGTCCAAGAATTTATCCATTTCCTCTAGGTTATCCATTTTGTTGGCATATAGTTTTTCATAGTATTCTCTTATAATCTGTTGTATTTCTGCGGAGTCTGTTGCTATTTCTCCTCTTTCATTTCTGATTTTGTTTATTTGAGCTTTCTCTCTTTTTTCCTTTGTAAGTCTGGCTAGGGGTTTGTCAATTTTATTTATCTTCTCAAAGAGCCAGGTCTTTGTTTCATTGATCCTTTCTACTGTCTTTTTTGTTTCAATAGCATTTATTTCTGCTCTGATTTTTATCATTTCTCTCCTTCTGCTGACTTTGGGCTTTGTTTGTTCTTCTTTCTCTAATTCAGTTAGGTGTATTTTAAGATTGCTTATTTGGGATTTTTCTTGTTTGTTAAGATGTGCCTGCATTGTGATGAATTTCCCTCTTAATACAGCTTTTGCTGTATCCCATATGAGTTGGTATAGCATGTTATCATTTTCATTTGTCTCCAGATATTTTTTTGATTTCTTCTTTAATTTCTTCAATGATCCATTGCTTGTTCAATAGCATATTGTTTAGTCTCCACATCTTTGTGCCTTTCTCAGCTTTTTTCTTGTAATTAATTCCTAGCTTTATAGCATTATGATTGGAGAAGATGCTTGTTATTATTTCAATTTTTTTAAATTTGTAGAGACTTGCCTTGTTTCCCGACATATGGTCTATCTTTGAGAATGTTCCATGCGTGCTTGAGAAGAATGTATATTCTGCTGTTTTGGGATGAAGTGTTCTGTATATGTCTATTAAGTCCAACTGTTTTATCTTTTCGTTTAGCTCCACTGTTTCCCTGTTGATTTTCTGTCTGGATGATCTGTCCAATGATGTGAGTGAGGTGTTGAGGTCCCCTACTATTATTGTGTTATTTTTGATATCTTCTTTTAGGTTTGTTAATAGTAGCTTTATGAACTTTGGTGCTCCTGTGTTGGGTGCATAGATATTTATAAGTGTTATTTCTTCTTGATGAAGTGTCCCTTTGATCATTACATATTGGTCCTCTATGTCTCTCTTTACCTGCCTTATCTTGAAATCTATTTTGTCTGATATAAGTATTGTGACACCTGCTTTCTTTTGTTTGCTATTAGCTTGGAGTATTGTCTTCCACCCCTTCACTCTGAGCCTGTGTTTGTCCTTGGAGCTGAGGTGTGTTTCCTGGAGGCAACAAATTGTTGGATATTATTCTTTAACCCATCTTGCCACTCTGTGTCTTTTTATTGGAGAGGTCAATCCGTTTACATTGAGGGTGATTATTGATGCATGAGGGCTTAATGCTGTCATTCTGTTGCTTGTTTTCCAGTTTTCCTGCATTTCCTTTGTTTATCGTCCTGTGTGTTTTAGCCTACCCATTGACTTCTGCAATTTCTCATGCTGGGTTTCTGAGCTTTTTCCTTATTTATGTTTTGTGTCTCTGTTCTATTTTTAGTTTAGTGGCTACCCTGAAGTTTGTATTCAGAATCTCGTGCATAACACAGTCCATTTTCTCATGGCCTCTTACTTCCTTAGCCTAAACTGATTCAGTCCCTTTCCTCCTCCCCTCCTAAGTTATTTTCATCTCTTATTCCAACTTGTGTTGTGAGTTTGTGGTTAGAGTGATAAGATTGTCTTTGTTTTTGGTGATTTCCTTCCCTTTATCCTAATGCTATAGTTGAATATTTGCCATCCTATTCTGATTCTGTTTGTCTCCCTACTCTGTGTTTTGTGACCCCTTTCTCCCTTTTTTCTTTTTTCAGGTATGAGAGCCTTCTTGAAGATTTCTTGTAGAGGGGGTCTTGTGGCTACGAAGTCCCTTAGCTTTTGTTTGTCTGGAAAAGATTTAATTTCTCCCTCATATCTGAAGGATATTTTTGCTGGATAGAGTATTCTTGGCTGCAGATTTTTCTCCTTTAAGGTTTTGAATATGTCATTCCAATCTCTCCTAGCTTGTAAGGTTTCTGTAGAGAAATCTGCTGAAAGTCTGATAGGGGTTCCTTTGTAGGTTATTTTCTTCTGCCTTGCTGCCCTGGGTATTCTTTCTTTGTCCTTCATTTTTGCCATTTTTACCTTGCAGTAGATCTTTTTACATTCACAAATCTAGGAGATCTGAAAGCTTCCTCCACACACATTTCTCTCTCAATCCATAGATTTGGGAAGTTCTCTGCTATTATTTGGTTGAGCACACTTTCTGCTCCATTTTCCTTTTCCACGCCCTCGGGAATACTGATGATTCTTAAGTTGCATTTTCTCATTGAGTTGGCTGTTTCCCAGAGATTTTATTCCGTTTTTTTGATTCTTAGTTCTCTTTCTTCCTCTGTCTGGAGCCATTCAACCTATCTTCGATTATGTTAATTTGCTCCTCTCTGGTGTCTACATGGGCATTCAGGGAATCCGTATTCTGTTTTAATTGATCCATTGTATTTTTCATCTCTAGTATTTCTGATTGATTCTTCTTTATAGTTTCAATCTCTTTTGTGAAGTAACTCCAGAACTTGTTGATTTGTTTCTCTATATTTCCCTTTATCTCATTGAGTTTTTTTATGATAGCTATTATGAAGTCATTGTCGCTTAGTTTACCTATTTCCAAGTCCTCAGGACATAATTCTGTGTTTTTATTGTTTTTCTTCTGGTCAGCAGCTTTTATAAATTACTGGATGGTAGAGGAACGGTTTTTATGCATAATGCTATTATTTGGTTGCAATTACAGCCTATAGCCACTAGATGAGTCCTCCGCCTTCAGCCATGATGCAGCGCACAGCACAGGTTGGGGGAGGAGGGGCACTTTCTCTTGCCTGCAGACCTGGATTCCAATCAGCTCTCAGTCTCTGGTTTCCTGGGGCCTTGGCTTGATGGGGTCCCCCATGCGAAAGCTTTCCCCCATTAGAGGACTTTGTCTGGGCTGCACAGCCGTGAGAGTCCTGGGTGAAGCCCCGGATGCGCAGCCCCTCCCTGCTCCTTCCCTCATGGAGCCTCCCACAGCGGCGATCCCAGTCTCGAGGGGAGGGAGTGAAGTTCTCTCTTACCCTGTCCCAGCTCCTCCGAGGGGGGTTCCAGCCTCTCTGCCCTCTGTCGTTTGGCTGCTGTGGATCTCTGACGATTTCTGTGCTATTAGAATTTTTTCTTAGAATGTGGTTGCTCCTTTTGGTTGTATTTTGGAGGGGAGAGAGTCCTGGGTGAGCTCGACTATGACAGTTTTAAGGAATACTGGTCAGGTATTTTCTAGAATGTTCCTCAATTGGGGTTTTCTCAGGGTTAGAGAATATTTTCTCATGGTTATACTGGGGTTATTGGTTTTGGAGAAGAATACCACCAGAGGTGACATGCCCTTCTCATAGCATCATATCAGGGAATACACGATAGCCACATGACTTATCACTTGTGATGTTAACCTTGATCACTTGGTTAAGAAGTGCTATACAGATTTCTCCACTGCAGAGTTTCTATTTTCCCCTTTGTTTTAATCATCTTATATTCACCCTATTGGTGTGGAAGGGATTCCCCCTGTAAGGTTATAGGGATGGCCAAATGCCTGACACCTGACACAGGACTGATGAGATTGACAGCAGTTTATTGGTCACATATACTTGCAGCCTGGGAAGCAGGACACTGCATGACATGCAGGGCCACATGGGCGTTGCAGTTTGGAACAGAGTGAACAATGAGGGGCTGTGGGAAGCAGGGTGGGGGGCGGTGCTTCCTGGTTCCAAGGAAGGAAGTGATGGGCTTGTCTGAATAATTCTGTGGGCTGTCAGGGAAATGAAACTTGCTACTCAGGGATAAGCAGGAACTGTGCCTGGTCCCTTTGATAAGGATGATTGTTTGGCTAAGGGATCTTATTGGCAGGAGCAGAGTGAGATGGGCACTTGTGGCTAGGCCAGTTGAGGTCCTCCTGATTTTACCAGATGTCAAGGTAACATATAATATTGAGCCTTAATTTTAGGCCTTCTACCACACCTTTCCACAATCTATTCTTTGGAAGCAAGTCTTCTTCATTTGTGAAAGATGTGTCCCAGTAAACAGAATTCTAAATTGGCAGTTATTTATTTCAGCACTTTTCTTATTTCATTGTCTTCTGGCTTCCATAGTTTCTTCTTACTGTAACTCATGTGCCTCTTACTCTTTTACACTCTTATATTTCCATCTTTTTTTTTTCACTTCTATGCTTTATTCTGGATATTATTTTCCAGCTCTCTTTCAGTTCAGATATAAGGGTCAAATAGAGTGTTTGTTGACTATAAGCAGCCTGCATCACTGGAGCACATCCATGGGGGAATGGAAGGGCAAACTCTGGTGAAAATTCAGTGCCTACAAGTCTAGATTCCTTTGCCTGGCAAGGAAAGCCTTTTAACATAGAGTTTCAGTTTAGCTTTGTAGCTTTTCCTCTTGTTATTTAAGGCCAACCAGACAGACTCTTTTATTTGTGAAATGCGTCCTTATCCCTGATTCCAAACTTAACTCATATCATTTCCTCCTTGAAAGTGTTGATTCTTCCTTATCTCTACTAAGCTAATTCCCAAAGTTTCAGCCTAAGTACTCCTTGTTCCATGAGGCCACCTTTGATCGTGTCACAGGGACTCCTGCTACTTAATACATGTTAACTTGTGTTGTTAGTTATCTTTTAACTAGGCTTTGTTTATGCCCTCTTTTCAAGGTGAATAATATTCCTGAAGGAAACATACCTCTTGTACCATTTAGCACCTAATATTTTAGGCTCAGCACTTAAACAGGGTTTTGCATATGTTATGTTAACGAATTCACGTTGACGGATTTTTCCCTTAGTTACTCTCAATATGCTAAAGAGAGATCCTTTAGTTGTGTACGTGATACATTTTAGCTTTTCATCAATTTAATTGTATAAAGGTATGGAAATAAATGAAAACCACCCAAATTATAATAGAAGCTGTTTATTCACAACTTGCTACAGCAAGACAGTCAGTCACCATCACTTGTATTTGGCAGAGACTCAAAGGCAGGCAGTGGAGTGGGAAAGCTTTATAATGGAAAAAAGGGAAGGCATCAGGTATGCCCTGATTGCAGGCTGTTGCTATGGGGTAGCTGCATGTGGGTTAACTAGAAAAGGGGTTATCTTATTTGATTGGTTTGAGGATCATATTTGGCTTTCTCTGGTTGGTCCTGAGTTGGAAATGGAGGCAAAATAAAAGGATGCCGATAGTCATTGACTATGCCCTGACTATTCTGGGCTGGTTGCTGCAGAGATTATGGTCTGGCTTGCTGGGCTGGTTGCTGCAGAGGTTTTAGGTCAGAGTTCTACTGCCATACATGGTCTGGCTAGTGTTCCTTTGTATATTCAGTCCCTCAGACGCCCCTTTTGGTCATCCTTTTGGTCATTCTCTTACTTGCAAGAGGTTGGCCAATTTAGGGAAGGCTAGAGATCCACATCTTCACCTCCTGGGGATTGTTCAGTTGCCCCCATCGTCAATCTTATTGTGAGAGCTTCTTAATATTTTTGTTGTTTTACTATTATGGTGATGATATAACAAGAGAGTAGCTACACAGAACTTAAAACTCTCCACACAATGCAAAGACCAGCATCAGCACCATTATGACAAAATCAAGAACAAGTAATAGTTCCTTTAATATGCTTCAGAACCAGGAACCCAATAGCCCAACTCAGGCCAAAAGAGCAAATCCCACAGGCCATGAGGATCAACTTAAGACAGCCAAGTAGTTTTTTCCTTAAAGAGATGTATAGTCTCTTCTACCTTGGATTTTTCATTGATCCAAGTACAGCAAGAAATTTTAGCAATGACACAGATGCCACCATGACTGGCCAACAAGAATCTGGAAAAATGCAATTGTCCATTGGCTCATGCCAATGAATTGCAACTGATTTATACTCCATCTAGAGCAGAAGTGATAACATTGTTAACTCCTGCTTGAGTCAGTAATAAGTTTCTTACAGTCTTTTCTATTTGTATAATTCTCACCATTGGGAATACTGCATAAACAATGGATCAGTAATTCCCTCAGGTAGAGTGCCTGAATAAGCAAGAGTGGCCTTGTTTTCGAAGAACTCATGTATGAGTTAGGATTTCTAGCCTTGGTGATTTATAGAATCAAGATCTCTGTGTACAGACAAGTACATGGGATACTATTCCTAAAGTGCATGAGGTGTTAATCAGAGGCAAACAAGACCAGGTATCCTGGCTGCAAAGGAAGTGGTATCTGGGAGGAGCACATGAAGACAAAGGAAAAAATGAGTTGCTCATGATATAAGGTTGGAACCAAGGCCTTACATAGCTGGGATACATTTCTGGATTTCAATTAGCTTCTTCCAACTGGCAAGTATCTGGCCCATCACTCTACAAATATTGTTGAATTTAAATTTAGAAATACCCAGGGTCTAATCAATAGATTATAGTAACCGATTATTTTTCAGGGAGAGAGGGACACTAGCAAAGCCACAGGTTGATTTGTTTAAGGTCATTTGTCCATGTAATTGCAAGAGGAACATGACTGGCTACAATTCCCTACGGTCTTGTTTAATCAGATTGGAATTGCCCAGAGATATTTATCATGGGGGTCTGGTGATGGATGGTATATCCAGCAGTCAGTAAGACTGAGGGAAGTGGCTACTGTTTGGGATAATCTAAGAATGGCATTAGGTAAGTATGTTCTGACCTAACAATTAAACTAAGTAGACAATAAAAGAAAAAGTGGCCATTCTGAATGGACAAAAGCCAGGGGCTTAAATAAAATGAGAAGAATGAGTATAAACAAACAGATAAAAAATGGAACAGGAATAAGGCAGGGATCTTGGTCCAGTGTCTTGGCAGGAAGCTGTCCACTACTTGCGGTCATCCACTTGTTCTGAAGGTCTTGGATCTGCTGTCAACTTCCAAAGACTGGCTGCTTCTAGAAGATCTTTGAGAATCTTCAGTATGAGGTACCTTATTGGAGCAGTCTCCCAATTGTATGGAATTCTGAATTACTTCTTTAGTTGTGAAACTTGAACCCAATAATTGGCTCTCTGTGCTGTCATATTTGTTGTTAACAGTACTTAATAAGGTCCCTTCCAATTAGGTTCAAGAACAGTTTGTCTCTCATACCTCTTCCAATAGATGAAATCTCCTTGCCAAAGATCACAAAGAGGTGTTAAGGAAGATGTTGTGGGAACAATGGCATAATGATCGTTGTGATGGGACTGGGTATAGTACATGAGTCCTTGCAATATTTTGTCATGTTTGTATGAAGTAGGACAGTCTATTATTGGAGGTAAAATCCCTAAATGTATGGACCTTCCACTGGCCAATTCATACTGGGACAACTGATATGTCCCCAGGAGAATGGACCACACAGCCATAAAGGCTAGTGGGAAGGAGGCTACCTTTGGCTGAGGAATGGCAAGAATTTCTGAAAGTTTTGTTAATTTAAATTTAAGGATGCCATTGGTTCTTTCAACCTTTCCAGAAGATGGTGGGTGGTAAGGGCAATGTAGTTTCTGAGGAAGGGGTAATGCCTTACAGAGTTCTTTTATAGTGATTACCATAGAGTGTGTGCTTCAGTCACTTGATATAAAAGTTGGTATGTCCCAGGTTAGAAATACAAAATCAAGTTGCTTTTTAGCAACTGTAAAGGTCTCAGCTTTTTGGCAAGGAAATGCTGCAGCTCATCCTGAAAATAGACATACAATAACTAAAAAATATTTTAAAAAATCCATCTGAAGGTGTGCAAAAGGCTACTGGGGCCTTGGTTCCGGGCCAGGTGTCACCTTTATATTTTTTCTAGGATTATGTTGTTGACAGGTGACACATGACCTGAAACTAACCTCAGCTATCTTTTTAAAGTTTCCCAATCAATCTTGATTTAAGTTTCCCAATTAATCTTGTCTGTAGGGTGATGAGTAGTTCGTGGAGAAATTTACCTAATTTCCATTTTAAGTCATCTAATGCCACCAAGCAGCCATCTTGGGAGTTCCAGAGATTATCTGAGTGAAAGGTACAACCAGATTTTTCCATTTTTCCTTTTCCAAATCAGGGGATAAATGTTGATATTTTATAATGGCTTCTTTGAATACCTCCATAGGTTGATGCTTTGAGGTGTAGGTGGGATCATAATATTGGTTATGGCTGCCTGTTTGGCACAATGATCTGCTAAAGCATTTCCTTTAGCTTCCATATTATCTCTTTTTGCTTAAGCATCTATCTTTCTAACAGCCACCACTCTAAGAAGTAGGTATCCATCTAAAGTTTCTTAACTTGTCCATTTTTTTTAATGGGAATTTCAGCATTGTTTCCAAAGTTGTTCTCACAGTCATCTACTACTTCAAAAGCATACTTTCTATTTTTATATGCTTACTCTTTGGTCTTTGATTAGTTGACTAGCTCTATTAAGTGCAATAAGTTCTGCCATCTGGGCTAATTTTTACCTCAGGCAGAGGACTACATTCTAAAGGAGAGTTTAAATTAGTGATAGTATATCCTGCTTGATAACCTTCAAGTATGAGCCATCAACAAATTCTATAAGATCAGGGTTCTCAATGGGATCCTCTAATCAATTCAAACAAGGTACAGAAAGCTCCCTAGCTAAGGGAAGACAATCATGATGTTCACCTTCTTCCGGTAGAGTGGCAAGATTCAGCGAGTTAGAGTGATGAACAGTAATGCAAGAGTAAGACAGTAACAATGTCATAGGAGGTTAACCAGCTGGCTGAAAAGTGCTGCATGCTCTCAGTCAGCAGTAGTTGTCTTTACTGTATGAGGAACTGTGAAATCAAGTGGGGAGCCTATAACTAGTTCAGCAGAAGCATTAACAAGTATTTTTTTTTTTTAGCAGCAGCTATTGCTTCAAGACAAGGGGGATAAACCTTTGCAACCAGGTCAAGGGTAAGGCTATGGTAAGCAATAAGTTTTTGACGGTTCCCATGAAGTTGAGTTAAAACCCCAAAGGCATGTCCGGATCACTTACGCACAAACAAACAAAAGAGATTTTTGTAGTTAGGGATGCCCAGTGAAGGGAGCTATTGAAGAACTTTCTTCAGGTTACAGAAGGCCTGTTCTATATTTGGGTTCCCAGAAGAGAAGGTCTCTTACTGAGAACTTAGTCAACTCATAAAGAGATGTTGCAATCTAAGAAAAACTTGTCTGCAATATCCAGTTAAACCTAGAAATCCTGTTGTATTGTTATTTTGTGACAAGTCTAGGGTTTGGATAGTCTTTATTCTATCAGGAGAGAATATTGTCCCCTCCGTAGATATGCCATGACCTAAATAATGCACGGTGCTTTGGAAAACCCTTTATCTGTTGAAACTTTGAGTCTCTTTTCTTCTAAGGCTTAGAGAAAGTAAATGAAATCCTTTTTACAAGCTTTCTTGTTCTCTGAATAAAGCAGGAGATCATCAACAGATTGTATCAAAAGGAATAAAAAGGGAAATTTAGATCTTTTAAGACTTATTTGAGGAACTCAGAAACATAGGAGGGGGCTTCAGTGAACCCCTGGGGCATGGCTGTCCAGGTATATTGTTATCCTCCCCAAGTGAAAGTGGAAAGGGATTGACTGTCCTAGATGTGGTCTACAGAAACATCAAAAAAGGCAAAGCAAAGGTCCACTACAGTGAAGCAAGCAGCTTCTGGTAGAATTGATGCCAAGATGGTATTAGGTACTATTGGACAGCGAGGGACAAAAATTTTGCTGATTGTGCTGACGTCTTGAAAAAAATTGATGCCCTTATCGATTCAGTTTCTTTATTGGCAAGACAGAATGCTACAGGGCCATTACAGGGTATGAGAAGACCTTTGGATATAAGGCCTTCAACTAAAGCTTTGAACCCTTCCTTTGCTTCTGGCTTCAAGGGAGGTTGGGGATGTCTGGGTAACAGTTTGGTAGATCTATCTACTCTCCAGGTTCTGACCCAATTAGTTTTTCTATGTCAGTGGGATTTTAAGGTCATAGAATGTCAGGTACAATGTCAAGACCTTTATCTGGGGTATGCATCAAACAGAATGAGGAAGGCAAAGGTATATTCAGAACAGACATAACTTGATTATGAATAAAGGAGTCCTTTGGAACTTTAAGAAACAGTCTCTCTGTTGTGAATTTAATATTAGAATTCCATTTGCAAAGTAAGTCTCTTCCTATTAAATTTGCAGAGGTGGCATCACAGAGCAGGAAGGCATGTTTTCATTCAAGAGTACAAGGGTTACAAGTAAGGGCTGGGAGGTAGGAAAAATCTGTGGGTTATTTGAAAGAACTATCTCCTGTGTGTATGCTTACTCTGAGGAAGAGGTTGAGCAAAAACGATGGGGTTCAATGTAGTAAGAGTAGCACTCCTACCCACCAAAAATTGATGAGGTTGACCATGTATATTTATTCAACTTGAGTGGTTAAGTGTAAGTCAGGATATTGGGAGCGTTTTTCCTTCTTCAGGGCACCCTCACTGATCAGAATTGAGGGATTTCCTTTGGTTTTTCTTTTATATGATGGAACATTCTTTTTTTTCCAGTGTCCCTTCTGTTTACAATACTACAGCGTCCTTGTCAAAAATGGTTGCTTGGGAAGCGGGCCACCTAGCTGTTTGATCTGCACGATTATAGTTTATTTTGGATTCTGTCTCATTTTTATTCTAAAGTCCTTTCAAAATGTTCTGACAGGTATTTTAGTCAGACAAAGGGGCTATTTTCCATTCCAATTTCTACTTTTGAATAAGGCTTCCAGTTTCATGTTTAACTCCTTTGACAAAATGAGATGAAAGGGTTGTTTTCATGCCAACACCTTTGTTAACTCCCAAATGTTGTCAGAAGGTATTTTCTAGTATATTATTAAAATCTTCTATATTTTCATCTCTTTTTCTGTTTGTATGATTGAATTATGGTCCCATCAATTTTTATCGGGAATATTTTGGGGATGCTACTTTTAGGGGACTTTGCCCTGCTTTTCATGCTTTTCTTTTTGACCCTAGGTTTATTGTGAAAAGAGACGTCCTGTAAATCCCTTTCTGGGTCAGTCCAATCAGCTTTGCCATCCAAGGTTTAGCATCTGAGGTTCTGACCAGCATATGGACAAGCTTATGTAGATTAGGTAACCCTGAATCATATGCACCAAAAGTATTCTAAATTCTTCTATGAATAGTTGCTGGTCTTGTATGGGAGTAGGGAGATCCTTAAGTATAGCTCTTAATTCATCTTGGGTCCAAAGTTTAAATTCTACAGTTGTCTGCATATGTGCCTCATAGGAGGGATAGATCTTTAGAGACAACTGGCATTTTGTGGTCTTAAGAGAGTCATTGGGAATCGTTAGGAGGTCTGGACAAGAGGAATAGAAGGGAGGAGTTGATGGAGGTGAGGAAAGAGAGAGATCAGAAGGATAAGGAGGAAGAGGGGCATCTGGACATAGGGCAGGAACTGGAGGACAAGGTGGGTGGGCAGGATTTACTAAGAAACCGGTTTAGTTTGTTGCTGCTTAAGTTTGTCAAATGCTTATTAGCTGTGGCTAAAGAATCTCATAGTGAAATAATTTTTGAACCAGAATTTGCTTTAGAGATCTCTGCATACCAATCAAAAACTGCTGCCCATTGTGCCTGAGAAATCTTAATGCCCTTTCTTTTCTAAGGTGCCTATCGAATAAAACATTTATTCAAGTCAAATGTTCCCCAGAGTGGCCACTGAAGGCCCAAATCCTCATGGCTGAAGTTATGCCATTTAGAGAGATAGGCACCAGAATTAGGACTATAATGAGAATACATATAAAAAGCAGCCATTTTTCCTGGAGGAGCAGAGAATCTAGGCTTCGACGACCCAGGAGAGCTGGCAATGGTTGACTGAAAGCATTGCTTGTGCTCTTTCTGTCACAGGGCCCCTCCGAACACAGACCCTGGGCCCCCTGGCAGGTAGAAAATTAGAGTAAACTCTCTTTAGATCAAAAGCCAACTCTCAGGACAAAAAATCAAGATGGAAGGAGAACCTCATCCAGTTTTATAGGTGACCAACAAAAAAGGTTGTCTAAATGGATGCTGGTCTGGTAGGAGCTGCAGACTCTGTGAGGCTGGCTGAAACCACAGGCTGACACGGCCTATGCCTTATGCTACCCTATGATTCTCCTTCTTCTGACAACTCTTAGACAGCATCATACAAAAGAGAAGTACAAAAGAAAGCCAAAAAGGAAGAAAAGGAATGGCCTGATTCCACCAAGAATGCAAACGAAGGCAAACTATAACAAATGTGGGTACCATACTTAGAATAAAGAGCTGGGGAACTCAATGTAAAGATTGCAGAGTTCAGACCTGGCACTGACTTACCATGTTGGCACAGACTTGAAAAGTCACAAGTAGCAAGGCACAAGCAGCCTGTGTGGGTACCACATCTGGTTTAAGGTGGGGTCCATGTGATGGACAGCACACAGCGTGTCTCAGTGGAGTCTCCAGGAAAACTGTGGAAATAAATGAAGACCATCTGAATAACAAACAGACATTATTTATTCAGAGCTTGCTAGAGCAAGGAGTTAGTCATTATGACTTGCATTTGGCAGACTCAAAGGCAGGCAGGGGAGTGGAAAAGCTTTATAGGGAAAAAGGGGAAAGGTTCAGGTGTGCTCTGATTGGAGGTTGTAGGCCTGGGGAGGCTGGAGGTGAGCTAACTGGAAAGGGGGCATCTTATGTTATTGGTTTGGGGGGCATATTTGGCTTTCTCTGCTTAGTCCTGAGTTGGAAATGAGTGAAAAAATTGGGAAGCTGGCAGTCATCGACTGAGTCCTAAATGTTCTGGGTGGATTGCTGATGGAGTTTTGGTTTGGCTTCCCGGGGGACTTGCTGTAGAGGTCGTGAGTTAGGGTTCTGTTCTATACGGTCTGGCCTTTGTCCATTTGTGTAATCAGTCTACCAGGGCAAAGACGTCATTGAGCAATTCTATCTCATTTAATCATCCTAACTGTCTCTCCATGTTCCTATTTTACAGATGAGGAAAGCAAAGCTCAGGGAGTATGAGTGATGTATCCAGGATCATATGACTAGTGACACAAGCAGAATTCACATCTATGAATATTGGACGTATTTTTAACTGTTTCATCTTGTAAAGACCATGAGGTTATTGTGATGTCGCCCTATCTGTTAAAAATATTAGGGTGCTCAATAAATACTCATTGGGTGAGTGAACAGATGAAAATAATTTTTGGAACACTTCTGAGACTGCCTCCAGATCCTGCATTTTTTGAATATCTTCAGTGAAGGCGTATCTTGATGATCGATTTAGTTTTAGAAAACAAACATTTTTCCAAATTAAGACTGGTGAGTAAGGTGAGAGAATCAGCTGGCTCCAAAACCTAGTGTGTCCATTCAGTAATGAAATGGATGTGATTTTTTGCACATTTTGCCTGTGATTGACAAAGCAGCTTTGAAGGCTTTTCCAGGGGAGAAGTGGCAAAAATGGTTGCACTTTGGGAATAAGAACTCAACTTTCCAAAAGTTTGTAGGGTAATGCTCATTTAAAAAAATAAGCTAAATTCTCATTATTTTTGTGGTTGATCTTTCTGTGTAGTTTTATGCAGTTCTCAAATGGTCTATGTCATTCAACAAATATTTGTTGAACACCTATTATGCGTTCAGTGCTGTGCTTTGAACACAGATATCAAATATAGCCCTTATCAACCAGGAGCTCACAGTCTAGTTGAGGAAGACAGAAAATTAACAATTGAAATGCAATTTGACAAGTATAATGGCTTGATAAATGGCAGGATGCCCTGGGAACATGCAGTAGGAACAGTGGTGAGTTGGTACATGTTAACTGACTTCTGGGGGTCAAGGGAGTAGGTAAGGGCCTGATTTGTAGTTTACTGATTTCCATGGTGTAAACACTCTCATGATGGCCAATTTCAAACTTCCAACATGATGCCACCAAGGGCGTTTGAAAGAGATGTGCAGAAGTACACTGTAATATCTATTTCCACCATACAGATACAATAGATGTAAATAATCTCCAGAGCATAGATAACAGTAAAATGTAGTAAAATGGGAAGTGGTGAGTTTGAATAGCTATTACTTTTGTTTTTAACATACCTTAATTTTAAACTTACATAATTTCTTTTTAAAGAGTAAGTGTATTTAAAAACTGGCTCACAAAATTACTGAACACTTAACGATCAGCTCCTGGAAGAGACTATGAACCAGTGCTAGCGGGCTCTAGCCACCGGAGAAGAGCAATGTCGGGAATTACTCTAGGCTCACGTAAGATGAAGATTGCAAGTAAGCTGAGGCAGGGACCCTGCCTTTTCATTTCTCATTTCTGGATCTCCAGCACCTAGCGTGTGCGTATAAACAAATGTCTGTCATATCAGGTGGTGGGTGGTAAGCGTTACGGCTAAAAATTCTGTAGTGCAAAGGAGAAAAGGAGTGGGGCATTGCTATTTCCCAGGGAGTTATCAAGCAACTGTAAATGTTGAGGCGTATGAAGGTAAGGATGAAAGGTTCTGGAATCTGAGAAACAGAGTCTGAGTAAGGCGGAAGCACAGATCTACGCACCATTCAACAGGACTGGGACAGCGAGTAACTTAGGAATTTTTTTCTTCTGAGAAGCCCAGGCGGTTGCTTCCTACTCTCCTCAGCCCGAGTGCACCAACTGCAAAGTCCTTTCAGGTCCGTCTCCTTCAGAAGCCCGCGAAACCGGCAGACAACCCTGCGCATGCTCAAATCCTCCAGCTTCTGGCGCACTGTCTGGGGCGGTTTGCGCATGTGCGAGAGCAAGCCGCACATTTTTGCCCCAAGGGCTTGCCGTACCGTCCAGGCGACGAGTTGCGTCCTGGTTCGGCCTCGTGTCCTGGCGTGTGGCGACTGTTCTGCTGCCACAGTCGCCACCGCCGACATGAACCGCGAGAGCTTCGCGGCTGGCGAGCGGCTGGTGTCGCCGGCTTACGTGCGGCAGGGCCACGAGGCCCGCCGCTCGCATGAGCACCTCATACGGCTGCTTCTGGAGAAGGTACCGAGCTGTCGGGTCCCTCCCAGCCGCCGCGCCCCCGGGCTCCGGCCCCGCCCCGCTACCCGGTTCGCGCTGGGCCCGCCGCGCTCGCTCCTGTTTGCTGGTTGAGACCTGTCCCCAGAGCCTGTCGCAGCTTGGCATGCACTCTGCTGCCTTGCTGCGCTCAGCGCCTTCTCGGCCTCGCCAAAGCCAGCAAGATCCAGGGAGTGCGGTTAGGGGGGGCGTGGGGGCAGCGTTTTGCGGCCCGCGGTTTCCTAACTTCGGGATGCGCAAGAGACGGGATTCCCAGTTGGGTTACTTTTTTGTTTACCAAAAGGGCGAAGTTCGCACCTTCCATCTTTCCCTCCTCCCAAGGACTCGGCATACATTATGTTTGCAAACCACTATGTGCTAATTCGAACCAGGTCTCTCGCGGAGCTTCACAGGTCTCGCTCCTGCCAGCCTTCCTGAATTTTAATTTCATTAAAGTTTGACAAGCCTAGTTTTAACACCCTGCTTTGAAGAATTTTCGTTGAAGATAAGGTTTATTGGTTTTCAGTTACTTTAACTTACTGCACCTTAAAACCTGAGTAAATCTCATCGTGTGCATTTATCATCACTTTTCACAATCTGTACATAATTGTAACGTAACGTAACACAAACGTTTTGCCTATTCGAGGTTTCTTCATAGTGCTGAATTTATATCTGAATTTTAGAAAGGCAAAGAGCATGGCAAAATACACGTTAAAAAGTTTTAAAATGCATTAAATAGGGCTCTAGGGATTATTGGTTTTCTTAAATATAGTTATAGTATTTTATTTCTTTTTTAAGGGCAAGTGTCCAGAGGATGGTTGGGATGAAAGTACACTTGAACTCTTTCTACATGAACTTGCAATCATGGATAGCAACAATTTCCTGGGCAATTGTGGTGTGGGAGAAAGGGAAGGGAGAGTGGCATCTGCGTTAGTTGCTCGGCGTCATTACAGGTAGTTTTTTCAAGTTGCATGTGAAAACATTTGTTTTTTCCTTTATGGTTAAAAGCAATGGTGGCAGTATTTATCATATTAAATTATAAAATGTCCGTTTATAATCTGCTTTTTCCCTATTCAAATGTTCACTAAAATAGAGGAAACAGGGCGATGGAAACAATTTATCTGAGCAGGTGCTTTTCAAGACAGTAGAGTAAAGTTGTATATGGTTGTTACCTTGTCAGGTTCTGGGTAATTAACGATACTGGCTATATATTCTGATAAGAATGTTTAACCTAATAAACCTCTTTGGTTGTAAGAGTTTAAAATAGGTTAAGGTTTATGGTTTTCCATGTTTCTTTTCTAACATTGCAAATTTTTTTTTAGAGAATTATATAGAGGTAGAACCTTAAAAGGTTGTTTTTCTGCATCTAAACTGAATCCCATTTTATAAGTACCTTGCTTTGTTGTAATAGATGCAGGAAAAGTTTTATTAAATTTAATTTTAGATTATTAAATTGCTTTTTTCTTTTGCCTTATTTCAGAAAGTTTTTCATCAATTATGATAACCGTTTAACTGATAGTGGCTCCAAATATGATGATTTCTCTGTTCTCCAACCTTTCTGTGAAATATAGATAAACTCTTAAAACACTCCTGTCTTCCATGATTTTAAATCATGATGAAATTTTCCTAGAGATAGTAAAATTTTACTTCAATCAAAACCATCAAACTTCTAGTTCTATCAAAAGGTGCAAACTTCCAGTTATAAAATAAATAAGTCATGAGATGTATAGCAGGTGACTATAGTTAATAATACTGTATTGTATATTTGAAAGTTGACAGAGTAGATCTTTAAGGTCTCATTACGAGAAAAAAAATTTGTAACTATGTGTGGTGATGTATGTTAATTAGATTTATTGTGGTGATCATTTCACAATATAGACAAATACTGAATCATTGTATTATACCTGAAACCAACATAATGTTATATGTCAATTAAATCTCAATTAAAAAATTGCAGTCAAAACTAATGATGAATGTATAACTTAGATGAGAAATTCATGGTTAAAAATGGGCTGATAACATGGTTGATGATATATGTAAAATACTTTGTACACGAGGTTTCAGTGGTAATGAAATGTGACACTAGTGTTCTGTGATAATTCTAGTGTGGAGAATTTCCAATCTGACTATAAATTACAAACAGATTTTTGATTTTGAAGAGTATTTAGAGGTATCTTTAATGTATAGCATCATCTAATTTAAAACGAGTGGATTTGTGCGCTAATTTTAAGGGAGCATATAGGTCTTTTAAAATTAAGGCAGTATTTGAAACATCAACTCATCCCCATGAGCCCACTGCTCTGGTTAGGGGAAAAAGAAAGAGAATTTATTGGTGTGTATATTCTGGTTTTCTACTGCTGCATGACAAACTTAGTGGCTTAAAACAATTGATGCTTTTTCTCTCTCATAGTTCTGTGGGTTAACTGGGCTCAGCAGGGTGATTATAGCTTTAGGTCTCTCATGTAGTTGCTCTCAGATGTTGCCTGAGAGTTCAGTCATCTGAAGGTTCAACTGGGCGATTTATCCAAGTTTTCTGACTTAGATGGCTGGAAGCTCGGGTGGCCTCTCCCTGTGGCTTGGGCTTCTCCCAGCATGGCAGCTAGATTGTCAGAGGAAGCCCCCAAGAGCAAGGCCTTCAAGAGGCCAGGTGGAGAGCTTTAAGGCTTCCTGTGATCTAGCTCACCAGTTCCACACCATCACTTCTGCTAGATTCTTCCTGGCCAAGCAGGTCACTAAGGCCAGCTCAGGTTCAAGCGGAGGGGAATTAGACTCCACCTCTTGGTGTGGGAGTAGCATATGGGCATAGGGAGAAAAGGAATTGGTAGTGGCCATCTGTGGAGACTAGCTACCACAACATAACTGATGAATTCATTTCAGTTTAAGTAAGGTATTTTCGTATTATTAATAGTTGATAAAATGCATCTACAATAGTCAAGTATTGCTTCTGGTCTTTTTTTGGTTGTTGTATTTGTATACTTACATGATGGGTTACTTAGAACACTGAATATTTTTGTCCAGTTATTGGCCCATTTTTTGCTTAGGTTCATTCATGGAATTGGACGATCGGGTGATATTTCTGCTGTGCAACCAAAAGCTGCAGGTTCTAGCCTTTTGAACAAAATTACCAATTCTTTGGTCCTGGACATCATAAAGTTGGCTGGTATGTACTGTGTTAATCATAATACTTTTGGCTGACCAGCCACAGACAGCTTTGCCTAATTTCTTTTATTAATGCTTCTTTCCAAAAAGGATATAAATGGCTTCTGAAAAGACATATATATGTAAAACGTTTAGAATAAGATGGAAAATCAGAGCCATAAGCCTGGAGGATGACTTTGGAGTGAGCTTCCTGAGAGCGAGTACAGAAGAAGAAGCAATAAGCCTACAACTCTTATTATTTGGTAGAAGTATATCGTCTCTTCTAGAAGGATGCAGTTTTACAATGGAATGACTAATTTACTTTTTACTTTTTATTCATAGGTGTCCATACAGTGAGCAACTGCTTTGTAGTTCCTATGGCAACTGGTATGAGTCTAACTCTGTGTTTCTTGACATTAAGACACAAAAGACCAAAGGCGAAATATATTATATGGCCAAGAATAGACCAGAAGTCCTGCTTTAAATCCATGATCACTGCAGGTAAAAGAAGAGAAGTGGCATATATCACAGTTAGAAAATTCAAACTTTTTATATAGAGGTAGATAAATGGAAAAGAAACTAAACTTGTTCCTATTCTGTCTTTTTATTGTGGTAAAATATACCTAACAAAATTTACCATTTTAACCATTTTTAAATATACAGTTCCGTGGCATTAAGCATATTCATGTTGTTGTGCAACTGTCACCACTATCTGTCTCCAGAACTTTTTCATCCTCTTAAACTGAAACTCTACATTAAACAATAACTCCCCCTCCCTAGTACTCCCAGTCGCTGGCAATCACCGTTCTACTTTCTGTGTCTATGAATTTGACTACTCTAGGTTTTTCATATAAGTGGAATCATGGAGTATTTGTCTTTTTGTGACTGGCTTATTTTGCTTAGCATGATGTCTTTAAGGTTCATTCATGTTATAGCTTGTGTCAGAATTACTTTCATTTTTTAAGACTGACTAATAACTCATTGTATATATATCCCACATTTGGTTTATTCGTCCATTCATTCATTCATTGATGGACACTTGGATTGCTTCCACCTTTTGGCTGTTGTGAATAACGCTCCTGTGAAGAGGAGTGTACAAATACCTGTTTGAGTTCCTGCTGTGAATTCTTTTGGGTATATTCTCAGAAGTGGAATTACTGGATTGTATGTCCTTATTCTTTAAAATGGGCATATGGTTGCCTGCCTCATGATATTGTTTTGAGGATTAAATGGGATGACATATGAAGTGCCCAACAATAATCCCTGGAGCTTAAAAGGTGCTTCAGGAATGTTTGTCATCTATACATGAGTGGAGTATACATGAATTATTACCATGAATCAAAGTACAAGGATGTAGGCATCATTAAGTATAGATGAGACAAAAACTTTAAATTGATGTTTTAATATTTGGCTTGCTTAAGTCGAATTTGAGAATTTATGGTTATTTTTGAATGGCCTCAGTCAGTTGTATGAAATGAGCAATATTGAGCTCTAATTAAACAGCACAAATAATCCTATAGAAATTCATGTAAAGGGATTCATAATAAGGACATATAGCAGAAACTGATGGACTTTTAAAAAACATACTGACTTATTTTCAGTGGCATAAAGTTGTCTTTTAATTTACATCCTGTTAACCAAAGATCTGATAATCACACTATGGAAAAGTTTCCCATATTGAAAAACTGGAAGCTTTTTTCTAAAAGATGTTATGATTTGGACTACAATTTACAGTTCATTCTTATTTAGGATAGCTTATATTCTTAGGAAGCAGGATAGTTGTGTTGTTAAAAAAGCTTGCATTTTAATTGTTTGAAAGCAAGAATAGGGTTGCGTGTAGAGAATTTGAGAAATAATAGAAAATTAGCTGTCCTTAGGAAGCTACCTACTTAAGTAAAGTTTTCTTTGTTTTAATAGCTGTGAAGGTACAGGTGTAAAAACTAGACATCTCTGAACCAATATATTTGAATTGATGATTTTATAGAGGCTGAGGTTTTATGTTTCTGTAGATAGAATGCAGACAACTTGATGTGGATTCTAAAACACAAAAGAAAACTACTTGCTCTTAACTTTGCTTTAACTGCTGTGTGACCTTGGGGAAGCCACTTAATCTTCCTGAACTTTGGCTCCCTTATCTTTGAAATGAGTGAGTTGAGCTAAATGGTTTCTAAATCCCTTACAGTTCTTCAATCCGTGAATCTAGCTTGCTGATAGATTTGGTATTTGGGAAGGCTGCAGATGTGACTACATAACTTTATGTGCAGAATTTCCCGTTTATTTTCTATCCAATTTCTAGGACTTAAACACTTAGATTTTACTTTTACTGTGAGTACTTACTAGTATTGCAAAGTACTTAGTTATGTAAGTGCTTTGTCCATTATCTAGTGTATATATTTCTTGTATAACGTAAGTTTATAGATACCTGAATATTTACCATACAAGGTTAAATAGTTATTATTTGGGTGGACCTTTGATCATATGCCAGTTGAATTAGTGTACTAATTCAATTGGAAATTTGAAAACAATTTTTATATTTAGATTATAGAAGGCCCTTGTAAGCTATGAGATGGGTTAGAGATCTTTACGCTACTGAAACTTGTTATGTTTTTCTTTAGAGGTAAAACATGAAGCCAATGATTGTGATTTGTTTCAGTACTTGAATTATATTATTATTTTTGTCCATCTCTGAAATAAAGTGAACTTGAAAATAAACTTACATGTTGCCAGAGAATGAGTTGGTTTACTTTTCTAGTTGTCCTTCACATTATTTTGACCTGCATTTGACTCATACCAGTGTTGAGCCAGGTCTTTATTACTAGAGGAGGATTCATCAACTAAAATAAATATTTGGAGTTTTTGTGCAGAATAGCACTGCTTCCTAGAATTCCAGGATCTTCCCTCATTTTAGTTTACATTAACATTTTGATTTCTGGTTGGCTTGGTTAGGTTTTGAGCCTGTGGTGATAGAGAACGTTTTAGAAGGTGACGAGCTGCGCACAGACCTGAAAGCAGTGGAGGCTAAAGTCCAGGAACTTGGGCCTGATTACGTTCTGTGTGTTCATTCGACTACATCCTGTTTTGCTCCAAGGGTGCCTGATAGGTAAATGATTTGTGAATATTGTCCTTTAGGTGCTCATCAGTCTTTTGTATAAAATGCAGATATACTAATTCTCAAATATGCCTAAATAACATTTGACAGTAAATAGGTGCATGGACTTTTGTAAGAGAATGGATTGACCTTGTGGAGAAGCAGCATAATGGCTTAGGAAAATAAAAATTTGATATAGAAGAAGGAAAAACTGTTAGTGTCAAGTGGAGATCCCTTTATCTCTGAAGTAGATGCGGAACGTCTCTGTTTTCTTGCTTTTTTTTTCTGTTTCTGATGTCTTCGCATCTTTTTCCTCATTATTTAGTAGAAGTTTCTAAGCTAAATGTTGGATTTACATGTTTCCATTCCTATCTCCACTTCTTTGATCTTACAGTTAGTTTTCATGTATAGGCACTATCAGTATTAACAGATGTTAAATAGAAAATTTCAGGATTATTTACTGTCCTTTGAATTTTCTTTTTAATTGGAAGCCAGATGTACGCTTAGGTATATACAGAGGTTGTCTTTGCATTTTGAGAAAAATGCAAATATTTAAGAAAATAAAAGCAAAAAGAAAAAAAGTAAATGTTTTCTAAGAGATGGCTTCAAATTTTCATTCTGAAAATGCAATAGGCTTAGATCTAATAATGCTACTTATTAGTTTGGTTTTTGACAGCAGGTCTGTTTCATTTTAACATTTTGAACAGAAATGCTAATAATTTGTAAAAACCACATTGATTTTGTACTTTTTCTGTAGCATAAGTTATACTTTGGTTTTAATTCATAGAATCACATAATTCAACAGTAACGAATGCATGTTATTTTATTATAAGCAGATATGAGACAATTTTAAAACCATGCTGTTGAAAATTTACCTTCATTCATGAGTCTGTGAATTCTATTTTAAGATTATATTGCATATATTTTAGTTGTTTGTTCATTAATTACCAATCAGGTTTTAAATTTGTATTAAAGTATTAAACATCTCTATACTTTCTTCATGATGGTTTTGATATCTAAAAGTCAAATGTGATAGAAGTAAATCACATTTCCAAAAATAGCATATGGATATTTTTGTTAGATTATTTGTCCTTGAGGATAGTTTTGTTTCTGTTTCATTTTGACTAACTTTTTTTGAATGTTTACAGTCTGCCTGGTGCAGTGTTAAATATTTTACATGTATTATCTCCTTTGGAAAAAATTATAAGGTTTTTGTCAATCAGCAAAATTCTCATTTGCCACTTTTTAGTGGTGTTATGTAATGAATGTTTCTAATAAGAATGAACTTTAGGAAAATGGTGATGCACAGTTGTTAGTAATACATTTGAATTTCTGATTTTATTAAATTTAAAATACATTTTAATTTCTTTACATTAACCTTATTTCCTTTATAGTCTTAATTTGAATGGGTGTATATATATGTGTGTATATATATATGTCTTTATTAATTAATTGGACAGAGTATTGTGGGGCACAATCAGTCAAACGAAATGTTAAAAAAAGAAGGATATCATTTCTTCTCACTGATAAACACCTATAATTGGCTTCTAAGTTAGAAAACAGTTGGATTCACATGGAGAATATTTTTTCTGCCTCTCCTTGCCTTTCATTGAATACCTTTATACGTACACTAAATATTAGCACATTAGATCAATTCAGAATATTTTAAACTGCTCACAAGTGATTTTTTTTTCCTTTTTACAATAGTACTTTATGTTATTATGGTGCTTTACTTTCAAGGAAGTTTGTTTTTAAGGAATGCTTTTATTAGAACACAAACATGTGAAAGTGCCTTTTATCTTATGAAGAAAATACTTGTGTGTATTCCAGAAGTCTGTTTTGTTAAAAACAACATTTGATTAGTTTAAGTAACAGACAGGTTTTCTTTTTTTTAAAGATTTTATTTTTCCTTTTTCTCCCTGAAGCCCCCCAGTACATAGTTGTATATTTTTAGTTGTGGGTCCTTCTAGTTTTGGCACGTGGGACACTGCCTCAGCATGGCTTGATGAGCGGTGCCATGTCCATGCCCAGGATCCGAACTGGGAAAACCCTGGGCCACCAAAGTGGAGCGCGTGAACTTAACCACTCGACCACGGGGCCGGCCCCTAGAAAGGTTTCCTGTGTTGATTTTGAGGTTTATGAAAATGAATGATAAAATGAGTTTTAATTCATAAAACTTTAAGGAAGCAAATCAAAAACTTCTAACAGATGAACAGAATGTTATTTCTATTTGTAGTTTAAAGAATTAATGCACATCTGTTAGAAAAAGATGTATTATGCATAAATAGATAATAAAACTATGTAATGTATATTTGAAAAAGGTCTTTGTAGAAAAGAACTTTTATTGTATAAAAATACTTTGCTTCCAAACTATATTATAGAAAGAAAAAAAATTTTTTTTTTTTGAGGAAGATTAGCCCTCAGCTAACATCTGCTGCCAATCCTATTCTTTTTGCTGAGGAAGGCTGGCCCTGAGCTAATATCCGTGCCCATCTTCCTCCACTTTGTATGTGGGATGCCTCCCACAGCATGGCTTGCCAAGCAGTGCCGTGTCCACACCCTGGATCCGAACTAGTGAACCCTGGGCTGCTGAAGCGGAACGTGCGCACTTAACCGCTGCACCACCAGGCTGGCTCCTAGAAAGAAAATTTTTTAAAAATGAATTTTATTGAGCCAGCCCTGCTGGCCTAGTGGTTAAGTTCGGTGTGCTCCACTTTGGCCTGGGTTTGGTTCCTGGGCACGACCTACACCATTCTGTTAGCAGCCATGCTGGGCTGGCAGCCCACATACTAAAAAAAGAGAGGAGGATTAGCACAGGTGTTAGCTCAGGGTGAATCTTCCTCAGGCAAAAAACAATTATTAAATCACAGAATTTAGTTTTAGCTTCATTGTGTAAAGACATTTCTATTAGAGATGACCCCAGTCACAAGTAATATTTGGTTTTGTGAAGGAACTTCTACAGTTATGCACTGCATAACAACATTTTGATCAGCGACAGACCACAGATACAAAGGTGGTCTCATAAGATTAGTACCATATAGCCTAGGTGTGTTGTAGGCTATACCATCTAGGTTTGTGTAAGTACACTGTGATGTTCGCACAACAACGAAGTCACCTAATGATGCGTTCCTCAGAACGTAACTCTGTTGTTAAGGGACTCATGAGTGTATTTATTATGCTCTAATTGAAATTTATTACCTTACTTTGCATAAAGTTAGACTTTCAGATTGCCTTAATATGGAGAATGTCAAATGAAAAAGTAAGAGTGAATTTAAAACCAGCAGCTATTTAAAAGATTCCTTAGTATCCAGGTTGTTGGAAAATGTTAGTTATTTTGGTACAGAAACATTTTAATGTTCTGTATTTTTTAATATATTAAAGTCTATTTAAAAATGTATTTTTTATGTTGTGAGATGTTTAATATGAGATTTCTTAAGATTTCAAGATATGCTAATTATTTAGCAGATATTACCTTTAGTATGATAAGCAACCAAAAGCATTTAAAAATGAGCACACCACCTTGTAAGGGGTCATTATAAATAATTTGCTTCTTCTTTTTATATAGGAAATTTTAAGGTGATTTAAAAGCTACCATCTATATAGATTTTTATAAATACATATTTTCTTATTGGTAGCATTAATTTAATACTTTTTTAGGTTTATTCTAAAGTGCCTGTTATGTATTTCTAAGTTGCCTAATTACATGCTAAAATGCTGCAGTAGAAGTTTCAGTTTTGTCATTTTTTTTTCAGTGTACGTTAAATTTTAAAAAAGTTTTCACTCCGTAATTTTTAAAAGCACAGTATGAATATGTCTTTCTGTTGAATATTTATGTTTATAGAGTAGAACAACTGGCTGTGATTTGTGCTAATTATGACATTCCACACATAGTCAACAATGCTTATGGAGTGCAGTCTTCAAAGTGTATGCACCTCATTCAGCAGGTAAGAGAATTTAAAAAGAGATGTCAAGAAAAAATGGATTTTAACATATTATGGGATTATTACTTTTTTTTTATTATAACCTAGTGTAATAGCAGTTATCTAGCACCCTCTACTTCATGGAGCATTAGAAATTTGCATACAGGGGCCAGCCAGGTGGCACAGCGGTTAAGTGTGCACGTTCCTCTTTGGCGGCCCAGGGTTCACTGGTTTGGATCCTGGGTGTGGACATGGCACTGCTTGGCAAGCCATGCTGTGGTGGGTGTCCCACATATAAAATAAGTAGAGGAAGATGGGCACAGATGTGAGCTTAGGGCCAGCCTTCCTCAGCAAAAAGAGGAGGATTGGCAGCAGTTAGCTCAGGGCTAATCTTCCTCAAAAAAAAAAGAAAAAAGAAATTTGCATGCAGTGTTCATTCAGTAAAAGTCATCATTCTTTGGTAGTCTGGTGGTAATTGGACTAGTAGCTTTGGTCAGAATCAACGTAGAAATACTTAGTAGTTTAGTTTTTAACTTTCTGAGAACACTTCATTACCAGTATTCTCATTTTTCTAATGTACTAGATCATAGTACATTATATAGATTTTTACATAGACATAGATTATATAGTTTTTAAAACTATATTGATGATTTGTTCTATATTTAATATTTAAGGAATCGCTTTACCTTATTATCCTAGACTGGAAATGACTTCATTTATAAACATTCTAGCATGTAACTGTGGAATTGGCAGGTTTTTAGAAATTTTATGATTTTATTTTATTTTTATAAGCATCAAATAGATCTGGTCATCTGTTTTAAATTCTTATTTTGAAAATATGCTTGGACGTTCCATCCTACTCAGAATAAGAGTCACAGCCATGGCCTGTAAGGCTTTGTGTATTCAGGCCTTGTACCTTTTCTAATTTCATTTCCTACTGCTTTTCCTCTCACCTGCTCTCTCCTGGCACACTTGTCTGTTTTCTTTTCCTCCGTGGTGCCACACATGCCACACCACCAGGCATTTACTCTTGCTCATCCCTCTCCCATGATTGCTCTTCTTGAGAGTTGCATGGCTTCTTACCTCACTTTAGGTCAGTGAGACTTTGTCAGACACCCTATCTAAATAACACCTCCCTCTTCCTTGCCAGCATTTTTTTATCCCTCTTTTCCTGTTTTATCATATTCATTGATTTTAAGGTGCACATTTTTCTACAGTATAACATCTCTGGAATTGGGATGTCTCACAATCATTGGTGTTGTATAACACTAGTTTGGCAGTGTTTTTTTTTTAACCTAGTGGTGTGTAAAATAATGTTGCTTCTTAAAATCAATGGCTTCTTGCTCTTTTTCTCCATAACACTTATCACCTCTTGATAGGTTATTTGTTTATTGTCTAGTTATTGACAGTAGTTAAAATTAAGGTTCTTTTAGGGCAAGGACCTTGTTTTGTTTGCTGTGTCCTCAATACTTAGGACAGGGGTTGGCCCCATGGCCGAGTGGTTAAGTTCTCGTGCTCTGCTTTGGAGGCCCAGGGTTCGCTGGTTCAGATCTTGGGCACGGACCTAAACACTGCTCATCAAGCCATGCTGTGGCGGCATCCCACATAGAAGAATTAGAATGACTTACAACTAGGATATACCACTATGTCCTGGGGCTTTGGGGGAAAAGAAAAAAAAGAGGAAGATTGGCGACAGATGTTGGCTTAGGCTCAATCTTCCTCTCACACACAAACACACAAGATACTTAGGACAGTACCTAGTACATAATTGACTCTCAACAACTAGTTACTCAAAAAAGTGAATGAATAAATGAAGTATTATAGTTACTTAAAATGATTAATTATTCATATTATATTAGGATATGGATATATATCCACATATGATGTGAGTTATACAATTTGTGTGCATAATGATGTTAATCACATATTCAGTTTTGACATACATGTGATTGTTATTATGTGGACATAAGTTATTCATGGATTATCTGTGGCCTCCAAGGTGGTGGCAAAGGCTCCTTAGCCCAGCAGATCCTATCTAGCAAATTTTTTTGTTTTATATCATTTTGAGTGTACTAATATCATCTCCAATAAAAATGTGGTTTATATGAGATAGTAACAGCCAATTTGCTTAGTTTTCTTTACTCAGAAGTTGTACCACTTAGTATGTAATTGGCTGCAAGTAATAGAAACCCAATTTCAATTGTCTGAACAAGTAAGGAAATAGATTTGTTTACATAACATAAGAAGTCTAGGGGTAGAGTGGATTGTAGGCGTGGTATATCAGGGTTTCTTAAAATATTTGGAGAAAACCAGTTAGCATTTTCTTGATATCCTTTTTTATTATTCCTTAACTTTTTAAGGCTTCATCACAATTCTAAATGAGATTATATCTAATTTGAGTGGTGGCAGAGGAAGGTTGTACAATTCTCTAGGCTGGAAATCTTGGAAAACGTTTTATTTCAGTGCTCCGTGTTTATTCCTTCTCCTTCTTTTCTGTCTTTCCTTCTCCTCTGTAATTTTCCACAGCCTCAATTCATTTAAAAGTCATCAGCATTACTAAAAGTTTGGAAAAATGAGGAAGGAGTAGAAGATCATTCATAAGCCTGTTACCCTAACAAATTAATAATTTCCGTGTCCACTGTTTTCTCTTTTTATATTTATTGCTTTTTTACGTAGTTACAGTCATTGTGTACATATAGCGTTAACTTCTTTAAACTTAGTGAAAAAACTACATTTAATTTTTAAACTTAAATATAAACTTAGATTATATTTCTTTGCCCTCCGCATGCCTACAGAGTTTTCATAATGATCATTTAAATAGTTCTTTAACATTTACTCATATATTCTATACTTACCCCAGAAGTGCTCAGTGTTTTGGTGCTCACAACGTATCTTTGAATACTAGAAATTTGGTGGTGTACTTGAAGAGATTAAGGCTAAAAGAAGATGAGTTCCAGGGTACAGTATGAAAAGTGCTCTTGGAGTTGTACATCACAAATACCCTGCTCTGTCATCACCTCTCTTCGTTCATGAGGTGGTTTTACTAAATTTTTAACCAGAAAATAACACTATAAGATGGATGAATGAATTTTTTAAATGTAGCTATTGTATTGTTGCAGATACTGTTACTTTCTAAAATTGACATTTCTTGAAAGAAAAAAAAGCAGTACATAAACATTCCAACTTTCCTAAATTGGCCCTCACAAAAAGAGGTGGTGGCACTGTTGCTTTAAACCAAATAAATCCTTGGGTCTCACTGAGTGCTCGTTGCTGTTTCATGACGTTCTAAAAAATTAAAGTTAGCTTTAATTCACCTCAGTGGTTCTTATTAGTAATATATACCACTTACTGAGTACCCACCATGTGTCAGGGATGCTTCTAGACTTTTAGAGTTTATTAACTTAATCCTGACACTTTAAGGTATACTTCCATTCTACAAATAAGCAAACTCAGTAGGATTAAGTGACTTGCCCAAGGTCCCAAGCTACAAAATGGCCCATCTAGTTTAGTGTGACTCCAGAGCCCCATATTTTTCTCTAAAAAACAAAGTACTAAAACTGCAAATATTTTTTTTTTCTCTAAAGATTGGCACCTGCACTATCTTCTGTTGCCAGTCTTCTTTTTTTTTTTTCTTCTCCCCAAAGCCCCCTAGTACCTAGTTGTATATTCTAGTTATAAGTCCTCTGGCTCTGCTATGTGGGAGGCTGCCTCAGCATGGCTTGATGAGCGGTGCCAGGTCCACGCCCAGGATCTGAACCGGTGAAACCCTGGGCTGCCAGAGCAGAGTGCGCGGGGTTAATCACTTAGCCATGGGGCTGGCCCCTGCAAATACTTTCTTGAGAAGATAGTATTGTAATAACCAAGCAATTGGTGAAGATGAGCTGTAACTAAAATATTACAGAATTCTTCTTTTTTAAGGGCGATGACCCAGAATGAGTTAATGCTCAGCACATAGAATGTTCTGGCATATACATATAGTCCCTAGGAAGTCAGCTTTGAAGAACCTATACTTCTGTTTATATACTAAACTTATTTAGGAGACTCATGGAATATGGATGTTATGACAGATTAATGGAGGGGGATGTGGTAGAGTTACAAAAATACATAGGCTTAATTATTTTAGAATCAAAATGGATTGTAAAGCTTCAAAGTGTGGGAAGCAGCAACTTATTAAGAATTTGAGAGAAGTAGGTGTTAATACTACTTATTCACAGACTTAATTGTCAATTTGTTCAATAAATATTTACAGGGTTCCCATTGGTGTGCCAGGCACCAGTGTAGGTGCTGGGAGTGCAGTAGTGAATATAACAAAATGCTGTCATGGAGCAGCAGCAGACAGTAAACAATACGTATGACTGGCCTTGATTAACACTCTTCTGTTTTGAGGGGAGGGGTGTCAGGCTAGCTGGAGTGATCCAGGAAGGCCTCTCCAAGAAGGAACATTTGAGCAGAGCCCCTAGTGATGTGCAGGAGTGAGCCATGCAGCTCTCTAGAGTGATTCCAGGCAGAAGGTACAGCAAGTGCCAAGGCTCTGGGGCAGGAGTGTGCTTGGGATGTGTGAGGAACAGCAAGGAGGCCAGTGTGGCTAGACCAGGGCAAATGAGGGCAGCAGTGGTAGTAAAGAGATTTGAGGTGTGTTAAGGATTTGGCATTTTATTCTTGGTGTGATTGTCAGCCATTGGAGGGTTTTGAACAGGAGAATGACAAGTGATTTACATCTTTAAACCATCATTTTGGCTGCTCTGTGGGGAATAGACGTAGGAAGGCAAGAGTGGAATGCTGTTACAGCAGCCCATCTGAAATATGTTGGTAGTTTGGGCCAGAATGGTAGCTGTGAAGGTGGTAAGAATTGGTGAAATTCAGATATATTTTGAGAGTGGAATTTACGGGATATGCTGATACGTCAGATGTGGGGTAAGAGGAAATGAGAATTCAGGGACTCCAAGGCTTTTGGCCTAAGTAACTGGAAGAACAGAAATGCGATAGGAAGGGTGTTTTATCTTTTAAACATGAGCTCTTCATTCAGATTACCTAGGTTTTAGTCCCTGCTGTCATTGACTGCCTGAGTGACCTTCTATAAGGGGCTTTAATTGCCTGGATTTGAATCCCAACTGTGCTGTTAACTACATTTCTGACCTTGGGCAGGTCACTTTAATTTCATTGTGCCTTAATTTTCTCATCTGTAAAGTGGCTGTTATACTAGTATCTACCTCATATGGTTATTGTGAGGGTTAAATGAGTTAAGAAAAAAGTAAAGTGCTTAGAACAGTGCCTGATGCATAGTAAGTTCTCAGTAAATTCTGGCTGTAATCATTTCATGAACAATTATCTGTTTTATTCACTGCTACTATCCCAGAACCTAGATCAGTGTTTGGCATGTGATAAGTGCTCAGATATTTGTTCTGTGAATAAATGAGTAAATTAATGAACTGATAAATGGCAACCCTTTACTTCATAGAATATGCTCCTCTGTTTCCTCTTCTCTTAAGCCCTTCCATCCTTATGGTGTTTTTATCCTCTTCATCGATAGCCTCTGACTTCAGTGTGGGGAATGAGGTCTATATTCCATTCCTGAGATTGGGTCCAGCGTGTGTGTTTTCATGCCACAGAGTGTGCTGCGCTTTCGCTGCTTTCTGTGTTTTAGGCTGAAGGGTTCTAGCAAAGTCTGGTCTACTGATGTTCTCTTAGTACTCCTCCTCCCAATTTAGATTCAGGTCTCTCTCAGGAAGCCTTGGACAGCACTTAGATGTTAGTAAAGGGGCAACTCTAACTCTTCTGCCTTATTTTTACGTGCTGCTACTTGGCTTGTTTTTCAGTTATTTATTCTATTAGTCTTTTTTTCTTTTGAGGAAGATTAGCCCTGAGCTAACATCTGCCGCCAATCCTCCTCTCTTTGCTGAGGAAGACTGGCCCTGAGCTAACATCTGCCCATCTTCCTCTCCTTTATATGTGGGACGCCTACCACAGCATGGCTTGCCAAGCGGTGCAGTGTCTACAGCTGGGATCCGAACCGGTGAACCCCGGGCTGCCAAAGTGGAACGTGCACACCTAACCACTGTGCCACCAGGCTGGCCCCTCTATTAGTCTTATATGCTTCTCTTTGTTTTCCTGTGATATGGTGAGATTTTCTCCTATCAGAGTTTATGAGGAAATTAGAAGAGTAACGGGAAGGTTAAGATTTAAACAACCATGTGATAGCCCAGAGTGCTTGGCTCCACTTCTGTGCTTTTGCTGCTTCTACCTGTTTCCTAGTCTGGTCTCTTAGATTAGGCCAGCTATCTGCTCTTTCTGTTCTCCCTGAGATACTGATGTGGAGAGAAAGTGTGAAGATGAAGGTCAAATGTGCTTATAATATTAATAGGAATGTAGATTGTGAATACAGATTGAAAATCTGTGGCTACAGATAAAGAAAAAACTACCCTAGTTGAAATTTAGATAGTATCTATTTTTAAGAGGAGAAAATTGAAGCACATTAGACAAAAGGTCATAGACTATGTTGGATGGGGACTAGAACCCAGTTTTACATTTCTAGTAAGTATTCAGTTTTTCACCAGAATATTAGATTATCACTTGAAGTTCGTTTGCAGTGGAATGAGATCATCTAAGGTTATAACATTAGGAACCATGAGTTATGTAGAAACATTGCCAAGAGTATATAAAAGAAATTTCCATTAGTTGATGTTAAAAATAAAATTTTTCTTTTCTCTTTTGTTATCTGAATGGTGATAGGAGCAGAGCTTATTGCCTAAAGTGGTCGTGCAGGTGTAGTAGATTATCCAAACATCAAAGAGTACCACTTACCAGTATAACTAATTGATTGGCAGCATGAGTGACTAAAGTCCATTAGATTATGGTGGCCACTCTTGAACTCACAGAGGGTGTTTAAGATTACTTAGTAGTTGTAGGACCCACTGTTGACATTTATTGTCAAATAGAAGATATCACAGATGAGAGGCATAGGAGAAATCCACTCTTACCCAATTTTAAGGTGAAATGCTCTGTTTCGGTATAGTTCCCACTTGAACTGATCCTGAAACCCTGCCTTCCTCAAAGGGTTGTTTTGAGGATTAAATGATTTATGTGTGAAAGCAGGTTGTAAACTGTAAAGTGCTCTTCTACACAGAGGTGGCAGCATTTAAAAACTCAGTTTAGGGCTGGCCCCGTGGCTGAGTGGTTATGTTCACGAGCTCCGCTTTGGCGGCCCAGGTTTTCACTAGTTCGGATCCTGGGTGCGTGGACATGGTACCGCTCGTCAAGCCATGCTGAGGTGGCATCTCACATGCCACAACTAGAAGAATCCACAACTAAAAATATACAACTATGTACCCGGGGGCTTTAGGGAGAAAAAGGAAAAATAAAATGTTTTTTTTTTAAAAAAAAAAAAAGACAATTTGGAAAATTTGAATGTTGGCTAGGCATTTAGTGAAATTAATTATCTCTTTAAAAAAAACTAAAAAATAAAAGCTCAGTTTAATACTTAAAGATATTTTACAAAGAAAATAAAACTCTTTGATCTCTTCTTTATTTCCATGCATTGTTTTAATGGTATTTATTTATTAATAGCAGTTGTTGTCTGTTCCTCTAGAAACTAATATGCAATACTACATGTTATTTCCTTCTAGGGTGCTCGGGTTGGTAGAATAGACGCTTTCGTCCAGAGCTTGGATAAAAATTTTATGGTTCCAGTAGGTGGTGCTATAATTGCTGGCTTTAATGATTCCTTCATTCAGGAAATCAGCAAGATGTATCCAGGTAAATAAATCGATTCCTCTCAGAAAAAGTAACTAACAAACAAAAATCCATTTGTATGTGGGGTACTATAATAAATCTTAATTTCCCAAGCTTTTTTCCCCTCCTAAATATAACTTGTTCATCCTTATTTCAGGCAGAGCTTCAGCTTCACCTTCTTTAGATGTCCTTATTACTTTATTGTCACTTGGATCAAATGGCTATAAGAAACTATTAAAAGAAAGAAAGGTAAGCTTTCCCTTTAGGTATAAAATAATACACTTGACCAAAACAGTACTCCCGGTTATTGGTGTTTTTGCGTTTGCTTTATCACTTTGGGAGTATAGATATCTAGTACGGTCCTAGGGGATTTGCTTTGCTCTGGAACCACCCTAGGTGGTTTTCAGTTCATCATTGGCATCCTGTCTATCCAGATATTCTGAGGAACCTTGGACAGGGGATTTTTGTGTTTTGAGAAACTCCTGCATCAGGGATTCTTATTAGTTCAGTAAAATTCAGTTCACTTACCACTTAAAGATAGAGGTTCTTGGAGACAAATGGACAAATTTTTTCTTTTTAGTTTCTGGAAGTCTGAAGACTTGTATAGGTTGAGATATCAGTTGCAGGAGGAAGAACCAGGTCACAACTTGGCCAGCTTCTCGTTCTGAAATAGTAAATCCATCCCTTGCCATTATTGCAGTGCTGCATTCATTGCTTATGTTGGCTATGATAAGTGACATTTGTGCTTGAAATCTGGGCTTTGTCTCCAATGCTGAAAGCTGGCTTAATTCAGGACAATTCCAAAATTGTATTCAGAGACAGTGTTGGCAGGGCAGGTCAGACAAAGATGTTTTATTCATCCTGTCTGGGAGAGCTAGAGGTCCCTGGTGTAGTTTTTGTATCGGTATCACTTTCTAACACTTAGTAGCAATTAGAGTCCCTTAGATTTAAAGTAGCACTTTACATATTTTAAAATATTTTCATATGTATTATCTGATAGATCCTCTCAACAGCCTTATGGGTACGTAATAGAAGTTTAAAAATTTGAGGGCTCTATTTTACCCTAGTCCCACTCCCCCCACTAATTCAGTCCATAGGAAAGTAATTGTTTACTTTTTATTGTGAGGATATCTCTTGAGATTTACATGATATAGGAAAAGATGCTCACCATCAATCATTAGGGAAGCAAATTAAAACCACAAGAAGGTACCACTATACACCTAGTCGAAGGGCTAATATTAAAAAAAAAAAACTGACAGTACTAAACACTGGCAAAGATCTCAAACAGGTAGAACTCTCAGACATTGCTGGTAGGAAGGCAAAATGGTACAGCAACTTTGGAAAACACTTTGGCACTTTCTTACAAAGTTAAACATATACTTAGCACATAAACGGGCTGTCCCACTCCTAGCTATTTACTCAAGAGAAATAAAAATTTATGTCAGTACAAAAACCTATGCGTGAATGTTTATAGTGATTTTATTCATAATTACCAAACCCTGGATACAATTCAGAAGTCTGTCATCTGGTGTATAAACAAACTGTGGTACATACATACTCAGCAATAAAAAACAAACTACTGATATTTGCAGCAGCATAATGACTCTCAAATGCATTATGCTAAATGAAATAAGCCAGACTCAAAAGGCTCCGTATTCTATGATTTCATTTATATGCCATCCTGGAAAAGGCAAAAAATATTGAGAAAGAAAAAAAATCAGTGGTTGTCAGAGACTTGGGTTGAGGGAGGGGACGAGTGGGGTGGTGAAATATTCTGTGTCTTGAGAGTGGGAGTAGTTTCATGACTGTATATGTTTGTCAAAATCCATAAAAGTGGACACCTGAAATTTTACTGTATGTAAGTTATGCCTAAATAAACTTGACAAAATTTTTAAATGATTAGAACAAAAGTCCAGTTTGATAAACTCCAAAAAGTAATGATTATGGTCATAGATTGTTAAAGTCAAGAGAAGACGTCAGCAGATCTTTCAGGGAACCTTCTCCATAAGACAGATGAAGACCGTTTACAGATGAGGAAAACTGTCATCTGTTTATATGAGAGTTTAATTGTATCAGATGCCAGGGGATCTTAGCTCTCCTGTAACTAGTTGTTTCACTCTGGGAAAGGTATTTGAACTCAAAGATTTTACTTGAGGTAAGTGCTACCGTTATCCTCTTCACAGGGAATGGAGGGGTAGAGAAGTAACATGTGTGAGGTAAATTGTAGGACATGGATTTAAACTGAGGCAATTGGGCTTCTGATCCTCTGCCTTAATTGCTAAACTCTACTGCTTTTTTTCTTAGATGGATTCATAATCTAGCCTGGTAGCTATGTAGCTATTTTACAGAGCTGTAAACCTGAAGACTTAGGTTGACTAATATCCAAAGGAGGCAAAAACAATGAGTAGATTTAGCTACCCTGGCCAAAAAAACTGGGTTCTGTTTCAGAGAGGATAGAAGCTGTTTGTTTTTTAGAGTCACTGTTGTTGGGGAGCTGCCTCTCCCCGACTCCAGGTAGTCCTGGTAGACTGTCACTCACAGTGTCCCTTCCTCCTTTTTCAGGGTGGGCATATGATCTGGCTAGCCTGGTTTACATGTAGGCATGCGGAGGTAAAGTCCTTCCAGCAGATTTGATAGATCCTTTAGAGATAAAGGGTCTGTTAATGTGCAGATAGTAAACTTTAAGGATGAGCGTTATGAAAGGACAAGCAGAATGTATGAGAACATGGGTCACCTAAGCCAGCTGGGGCACCTAGCCTACCTCTGGGAGGGTCAGGGAAGGCCTCTCCGAGAAAGTGACATCTAGATCACTTCATAAAATTAGCTTTCCTTTAGGATAAATTCAGATTCACTAAGTCTGGAGTGGGGCTCAGACAACTGCATTTTAAAGAAACTTCCCTGATGAATCTGATGTGCACTCAAGTTTGAAACCCATTGTTTTTGGGGCACACAGGTTACTTGTATCTCTAATAGAAACTTGGAGAGGAAAGATACAGTGTCATGGCATTTTAATACTTTACATAGGTAGATAATGTTTTATGGAATTTGAGATGGACTGCATAAATATCCCAAATATCAAAGCTTGAAATTATAGCTGCTGCTGCTTTTCTTTTTTTTTTTTAAAGATCGGCACCTGAGCTAACAACTGTTGCCAATCTTCTTCTTTTTTTTTTTTCTTTCTCCCCAAAGCCCCCCAGTACGTAGTTGTATATTCTAGTTGTGAGTGCCTCTGGTTGTGCTGTGTGGGATGCCGCCTCAGCGTGACCTGATGAGCGGTGCCATGTCCGCGCCCGGGATCCAGACTGGCAAAACCCCGGGCCGCTGAAGAAGTGTGTGTGAACTTAACCACTCGGCCACGGGGCCGGCCCTGAAATTATGACTTCTTAGGTGTCTGTTTATTTCTGATCTCTTTAGTTGTCATAGTTGTAGTCTTTTCTTATGTTCTAGCTGCTTTTTACCTTATGTTGATCACTCTGCAGATTTGGCTAAAAATTCATTTTTAAACTAAATAAGTGGAATATATGATACTCTGACAGTAAGACTGTTACACAAAGTTTTAAGTTAGACATTTAAAGAATATACTTTATTGTAGATAGAAACTTTAAAAATTTTTATATACTGTTATAATATCAAATAAGCATACTATTTATTTATTTTTTTGGTGAGGAAGATTGGCCTTGAGCTAACATCTGTTGCCAATATTCCTCTTTTTGCTTGAGGAAGATTGTTGCTGAGCTAACATCTTTTCCAGTCTTCCTCTATTTTTCGTACGTGGGACAGTGCCACAGCCTGGCTTGATGAGTGGTGTTTAGGTCTGCATCTGTGACCTGAACCTGGCAACCCTGGGCCATTGAAGTGGAGTGCTCGAACTAAACTGCTACACCACTGGGCCAGCCTCTAAGCATACTATTTAGTATTTCCTGTTTTTATTCTTCTTGAGTTGAAACTATAAATAATAATAGTTAATAATATTAAATATTTACTCTAATAAACTAATACAGTACTTGAGTGATTTTGTAGTTAAATTAATTTAACTAACACAATAAACTGATTATTTGAGTGCACACCCCTAAAAAATTACCATCTGGTGTGTGAAATGAAACTTGGTCTTTGATTATGGGCAGTCTAGTAGATTAGTGTCCACCTTGGAGTTGCCATTGATCCCTCTACTCTTAGTGTCCTTTGCTTGATAATATGCTAGATGCTCAGCAGATGTTTGTTGAATGAACTAAGGAAAGACATAGGTTCAGTATTGTATGTTCATCTCTTGTTTTACACAGAATAAGTATTTTTCTGGAAAATTAGAAAGCAAACAACATTTTGATACCAACTTCTGTTATGAATTAGATGTTCTTATAGAAGTATTTCCATATGTGGATATAGTTGAAAATTTGTGAAAAGGAATGAGTTGAAATGGTGATTACCAGCTGTGTGTAACAGGTACTGTACTTCTGGGAGTGAGACCTTTTCCCTAACAGGGACTCCTCTTCCAAAGCACTTTTCTTACGTTTGGATTATAGAATTGTTGATTTCATGGGTGTTCTCTTATTTTTTTGGAATCTAAGAATTTCTGTTATGCCATGGTTCTTCTGACTTCTGACATTTAGGGTTCGACTTTAAAACTTTCAGCTATTTCTGGATAATTCCAAAGGTCCACGCATGTGTACATTTTGCTTAGCATGAGTGAAAATCCAGCTGCTTTGAGAAAAACCTGCGGGAATATGTAGCTCAGCTGGTGAATGGATCCAACAGGCAGTCTGTTGGGCTGGGACTTTATTCTTTATTAATCATTGGATAAATATTTTATGGGAAAAATTTTATATTCTAGTGGTATTTGTGAATTGGATGGCTCCATCTCAGGTGTCAAGAGGTAACTCTCTTTGTAACGTCCAGAACTTTGTTCTTTTGTCTAGATAGAGTAGAGTGGAATAAACAGGGACAGGACAAGAATAGTATTAGAGCTAGAAGATATTAGTACATGTCTGTAGGAGTCCTGCTAGCTAATGTTAGTTACTGTAACCTGAAAACTCTTTTATGCTAAGGAAAAAGTAGCTGGGTGGGGAACTAACACTTTTATGAATGTCTGTTGTATGCCAGGAACTCTGCTAGGTTCATTATGTTCATTATTTCATGTACTGCTTAGAGCAGGTTTATGAGGTAGATATTATCCTCACTTTACAGATGAAATTGAGGCTTGGAGAAGTTAAGTACTTAGCCAGAGACCACATATAAGTGCCAGACTGCCATTG